CCCGAACAGCACACTTTTGAGCACAATTAACACTCACCGATGCCGAGATGCTTCCACTTTTGAGAAGGTTCTTCAGCGTAATGGCTACTAGCCGAACAACACGATTTCAAATTGGAAGACGGAGTTGCATCCAAGCAGTAACGAACGCAATAGCGCACAAAGTCGTTAAGAGGCTCTCTTGGAAGTTCCGGCCGATACTAAAATCATTCAAACTTTCTCTGTGGTCGTAGTATTGAATGTTATGCTCTGTAAACTCTTTAAAAGCTACATTCATTCCCAAATTCCCCAGAGCTACATTATAAAGGTGGAAATCACAAGAAATGACAAACGCTTGCCGCCTGCAAGGCCTTCACGACACGTACCATGTACTCGCCGTCCTTTGAAAAACGTGGTGTTTAGGCCATATCTGTTTCTGCGCCCAATTTGACACACTCAATGAGCTTTACTGGTAGCCGATGTAAGGGAAATAAGTATTTCACACTTGTAGATGCAGCTGGTCTCAGTAGGTAAGCCAAGAATGTGATTAGCTCCTATCCGAGACGAAGTCCCCGGATCACAGCATGGCAGAGCCCCATTCGTCACTTTATGAAATGAGACATCACAAAGTGGAACCTTCAAAGATGTAGCGGGCATGTTCTGCTCCCACCGAAATGGCAACCTTCAGAGATGAAGAATACCGCCTGCCAAGGCGCTGAAAAGGAAAACACGGCTGCCTTAGAGGAGCGTAGGTCACCTGCAACTAACTGCACTTTAGTGTGACATTAGACTGTAAAAGGAAAGCTTTTGACTGCACCGCCCGAGTTAGGATTCGTTTTTACTGGCCGATAATATTTAAAATAACAAGGGAAAGTGGCACGCTCCACACGTAGTGTGACTGTCAAACCGAGGATCGGGCCCCGCCCTGGTCAACTAAGCCTTCTACCCTCGAAAAGCGGTGAAATGGTGCCAGATTCGTATGGGAAGGATGAGAGCACTGACTTGTACATCGGCTGGCCACCGCAAGTCATTGTATAGGCCACATCGCATTCAGTAAGCCGCTATGATTCTGAATGGGGTACAGTACTGACTGACGCTGTGATGCGGTCTCAAAAAGGTGTTCACCAACGGCAAAGACGTTACCCTCTTCATCATTAATATTGCGAAAACACCAATAAAAACTATAAAAACAGTCAAACCTGATAAAGGCGAGTGACCACTTCCATACACTGAACTGTGACATCCATTCCTTGAACTATTCGCATAATCCTGAATGGATCTATTTGAAATGAAGAACGTCATCGATTTTTGCTCGGGGAACACCAACCTACTCGCTAGGGTTTGATCTGCTGATACACACAAATCGATAACTTCTATGGCAATCTGAACAAAAATACGTCTTAATAATGAAAATATACCCTCTGTTAGGTAGGATGTATAAGGCCTGGAGAAAATCACGAACCTTCACATTCTGATCAATCAATCTCGACAGATCGGAGTCGCTCATTCGCACGAACTCGTTCAAGAAATCATGACTAATGTCACCACGCTCCAGAGATTTCAGCATTTGCTTCGTTTCCGACTGACTGAAAACTACCACATTATATATCCTAGAATCACATGAATAACAGCAATCGTCAAATGTTACTACATTCCTTCAACTGTTTCCATAATTACCCACTAAAAGAAAACCCTCATAAATGTGGTCGATAGATTTGGATTGGATTGTTCCGTACCAAGATCAATGTACACCTGCGCAAGGTGAAGTACTAAGTAACACACAAACTGATATGGTTAAAGAATAACAGAAAACAGTTGAGTATCGAGAGGATTCATGGCCGAAATCCAACACCCTCCCACATCAAAGGGTATTTCATTAGTTGCTGAGAGTAAGAATCTTCTTCATGAGTGGTAACTTATTTCTCTGGACCCGCCCATCACGCCAGTCGCTGCCAAAATCCACAACCGTAAATGTAAAAGCAAAATGTGGTGCAAATGTGGGCTACTGGGTTGCTCTTTCTCGTATCTTTTGGCCTGTCTGCCTTTTCTGTCGCTCGGGCCAGTGCTGCTTCAAGGTCGTAGAAGGCTCAAACCACCTACAAAAAAGGGCGTTATTCATATTATTCCCTGCTTTCATTCTTCCTCAGGGAACCAATCAACTCGCAGTGCAGTTTCATTGCATACGCTCAGAAATCGCATCCTCTTATTCTGGGACAGGATGGATAACCATGCCTACCAGTTCAAGCTCAAGCTAACCCGTACTCAATACATCTAGGTGCTTCAAATTATAAGGCAAGATAATATGCAAAGAAAAGCAGAACCCTGCTGAAACGAGCGAACAAAATTCGAGAACGGCCACCCAATCTGAATAGTGGGATACTTACGTTAGCGACTTCCCGTCGAGTAGCCTTCGGGTGAACTCCCTCAGCTGATCCTCTGTGAGCTCTTGTGCTGGAGCATGGATTGTTGGAACAGACGAATTCTCTAGAAAGAGAGTGAATAACAGGATTTTAAGTGGAAATGATCCAATAATCTACCCAAATTAAACAGTTTAAAGGGAAATGAGTGAATAATCTACACATTAATCACCTGAAATGGTGTCGAAGAGGTCCGTTTAATTTACAAGTTAGATAGAACATAATACTTAGTTAATACACACCGCATACATAAAACTCTTCAACTAGACTCACCTCCATGAAGCAGGTCTTGGTCTTTTGTAGTGGTCGCGTTAGTAGAAGCGATACCGACTATTTTGTGCTGCAGTTCTTCAACGTCTTCGCAGCCAAGCTAAGAAAGAGACTGCTTACATGTTAGTTTAGCAAACTTGAGAATCTGATCACGTAAAATCAATATTGTAAGCAACTGGATCATAATTGACACCGCAGCAAAATGTGTACGGTCAGAGACCGAAGACGGGGCTCATGGAACGTTTCTCACACTTACTGAACTATGTTCCCAGTTGAAAAATTGCCCTTCAAAAATGTGGAGAATAATTCATAGAATTTTTATGGTAGTAGTTCATGGCAGGAAGAAGCAAATCGGCAACAATTTGAAAGGTAATGCTTAGAACTTCACCGCACTTAGCAAGCGCTAATCGAACAGGGACGACAAAAGTTATTTTCGAGCAAGCTCCACACAGAAAAAAGCAAAAATGGTAGGTAAGCAGAGAATGGCTACGACTACTTTTTGTTAACGAGTTAGCCTCGCTGTCCGCTGAGTTCAGGCCGAATGTCACCATTTACGGGCGATATAAGGATGCTTGCTGCGAAAGTATGCAGCACACGAGATGATTTCGCAGTTCCGTACAGAGAGCCATTTAGTAGACTTGGGAAACGTATTTAACACATTCCGTACCGTCGCTGTGCGAGGATCTCCCCATAACTTCGTTACTTTTCAGACCGATAATCAGCAATTTCATCTGTTTCTTTCCTTTTCTAGATTTTGTATTTATATTTGTATTCTGTGCAAAACGTGTTCTGACATCAGAGCATGTTTAAAATGCCAAGCAGACCGCATGAAACGGCAAAGAGGGGAAAAAAGTATGACACATATGTGTGTCACTCGGTCCGGAACGTTTTAAAACGAACAGCCCTAGGCGCATTTGGTGAACACTTTTGCAGTAAGTCTCCGGCCTTGTAAAGGGGCACCTGTTCTTTAGAACACAAGAGGAAAGAATTTTCGAGCACAAATCCGTGGAGTTCCCCTAGGGAAAGAAAGGAGAGCAGTTGTTCATATGGAAGCATAGTACATCAATGAAGGGGTTCGTTTCGCCATTTATCCAGATGGGTCACTATCTTGCCGTTATCTCCTAAGACTAAAGACTAACCTCTATCGGCTGAATGGGATAAAGCGGCGGCATCAAAGGAGTTGTTTTGAAGGGGAGCTGCTTCAAGGGTTCGCATGATATCCGTTCCATCAGAGACACCAGAAGCGCATCTTGCGATAGGCTGTAATTGCCTGATAATGGGTAATACACAGCTCCACGAATGAAGGGCAACTTACTCTTGTAAACTATTGTCTTCGGGGTCGGGATAAGGTAAGATAGAAGGAATCGTGACCATGTCAAGATGTTCAGGCCAACGTGCTGTCTGCTTCACATAGAACTGTTCCGCTTCAGAAAAACCGAGATTGGCCTGCAAAGACTTCATAATTACCTAAGCGGTGTGATAAGAGTCACCACAGTAACAAAAAGGGAGCAGGACGAACAAATAGGAAAGAGTCAAAAAGAACATGAAGGTAAGGAAGTTCCCACAAAACTGGAGCTTAACGCTAAGGCGCGTTCAGACTCTACGAATGTGAGTATCTCGTGAGCTGAGAGAATGCGCGAATCGAGACATGCCGAACAAGGGAAGGGATAAGTATCGACCAGAAGAATCTGCTAATTCGAGGATGCGCGGACTTCCCAGATAAATACTTACAATTTGCTTTCTGCGCATGCTCCTCACTTACGGATTCTCCACGCTTCCAAAGTATATACGCGGCTTATGGAATATGGGACCGATTAAGGAACCCGTGGAAGCCAGTGCTCAAACGGAAGTGATACAAAATACAAAGAAAATACTAATGACAAATCAGAATAGTAGCATAGCGGTTGGTATTCGTGCCATACAGGAAAGCCTACAACATACATCATTCAATGCTCCGCCAGCGAGAAGATCAATGGCGCTCATATTAGCGAACTCCGCAGTTTTTCCGTTCAAGATCCTCAGGACAATAGAGCGCTCAATACCAATAGGGAGCGGATAGGTAACACAAATATCTTCGACGACCTTCGACTGCACCTGCAATCAGATT